CAAAAAAGGTGAAAACCTTCTGGTTGAACGTGGAAACATAAACCATGGTGATCATTTTCAGAGCTAACATTTGTTTTGCCCTTTAACTGCCCTGGACGGTGCATTTAAAGCACTCTTCTACTCAAAGACTCGGGCACTGATTGCTTGATTACAGGCTTCCTTCATGAATCTTTTCCTTCACAGGCTGAAGCAGAAATTGTGGGTTTTACTGCAAGAATCGTTCAGAGATCCAGAATTCGACACTCGGCTTCTTTGAAACAAGTCTAGTCTCATCATGTTTATCTTTTGAAATGTTTGCACATTGCATATCACAAATTTTTCTATTTCATAACAGAGCTCCATGCAACATCAGTTGAGTAAAGTAGCTGCATTTTTACAGCATCTGCCTCTTCAAGCTTTTCTATTTCCACAAAAAAAATGTACAGTCTTGTTTTTATTTTTTACTTTTTTGAAAGAAAATGATAAATTAACTTTCTTACATATCAAACTCATATGTGAGCTTGATCTGATTAAGTACAGTTAAATCAAGACAAAGAAAACAAATCTCATTCTTATGTGGGATTCCTCAAGGCTGCATTCTTGGGACACTTTTATTATTATTTGCTGCACACGCTGCAAAGAATTAAAGCTTAAAAAAGCCAAAAATTAGCTAATGTGGCTGTAGCAGAGACTACAGAAAACTACATAATAATCCCACATGCTATTAAATAACTGCTCTCTCTCCATCTTTAGAAAATAAAATATGTAAAAATCCTGTTATTGTTCTGCGAGGCACTAAATGGCTTTGGGTCTATCATCAGTGTTCCAGAAATTAGCAACAATAAGCAATTTTAAGCATTTTATGTTCAGTTTTGATGATGAAGAATTAAAACTGAGGGCAGAATTTCCCCTTCTGGTTGGGAAACAGCTTCAAACATGCAGCTACAGCTGCAATGGAGTGGTTGTAAATGGTGCACTAGTAATCTATTTACATAAGCACACCACACTTTTCAGATTTTTTGATGCAAAAAAAAATCCTTTTTCCATCCTCTTTATAATTATCCACTAATTCATCTTCTTCTCCATAAATCCCCAAAAAAACACCAAAAATGCCTCAAAAAGCTTCTTTTCCTGAATCGGTCTTATTTTTTAATTTATTTCTATTTTTTTTTCGCTTCACCGTTGAAAGATGTCTTCAGTTTAAGCTCCACTGAGCTTTCAAATGCTCATTCAACTCTGAAATGAGAGGTTTAATGCACTGGAGCCTCAATGTAATATCCTCTGTGTGAGAGTCACACTGTTCTTGTGTTTTGCTGCTTCTCTCTGCATATCACAAAGTTCTCTTTATGACCTCAGTCAAACACTTATGCTGGACATTTACATATAATCTGGGGCAGGGTTTTCCCATGGGGCTGCATTGTGCAGAAAACTGTGTTACAGTCAAACATAATCGTAGTAGAAACTCTAAACACTTCATGCAAAGAAAACTGTCGGTAGCAAATGCACCAATATTTCATTAAATAACTTGTGATAAACGCCACTTATTTAATTTGGGATCGAAAGTTAAAAAGCTGCTTTTAACTTGAGTTTTGCTACGTTTCTCCCAAAAATAACAGCAATTTGAATTGACATGAAAAACACAAAATCTTACCAAGTATTTTTGATCTAGTTTCAAATATCTGAAGTAAAACTTAAAAGTGACTTTACAGCAAGATATAGACTTGTTTTAAGTAAATAATTTATAAATGTTGATGAAAAGGTGTTTGTTCCAGATAGATTAACTACTAAAGTGGAAAAAAAACTTATTAAGGTGATTATTTATATAGGACATTTCTAGCAACAAAGTGATTTAAATGAATTAAAAGGAAACAAAACAACAAAACCAAAAGACAAAAAGGTTAAGTATTATTATTCTTACATGAGTTTCTCTACGTTTTGCTGCGATATTAAAAGCTAAATGTTGGTCTAAAATACTAAATTCCACAATTTAGTAAACTAAACAGACAGAAATGGAGCAAGCAGGACAAAGGAGGGAGAAGAGAGCAAGAGAAAAAATGATTTATTTACTTAAAACAAGTCTTTATATTTTACTAAAAAGTTACTTTTAGGTTTGTTTTGTCTTATTTGAAGAGTTCAAAGCAATTTGCACAAAAAATTAGACTAAAAATACTTGGTAAGACTTTTGCAGAGACGAAGTTCACATACTAATCGTCTCCTTTAGTGAGGCGATTAATCCTTTTTCCCAGGGTGAAAAGTTTATAATAAAAAATGACATTTGCACTTATAGAAAATGCACATTAACTTTGTAAGATCAAATTGCGCTGATCAAACTGCGCGGCACATTTGATCCTGAAGAGTTTCCGAGCTGCACAACACAGACTTCATCCGATTTCCAGTTCTCCACGACTTAAAGGCGATTCTTTAAAGAATCCGTCAAGCATGTTTACTTCAGGATGGAAAGTCTGAATTGGCCCCAGAAAACAGCCAAAGATGCCAGTTTGAAGGTACATTAGTGACGCATAAAGTCCACACACCTTCTTCAAAGTAGGCGACACAACACATAAACCAAAGCAAGAAATAAAACACATGCTCATGTGGAGGAGGGAGAAAACAGTCAGGCAGTATCCAATTATTCACTGCTCTGTAAAAATCACAAGATTATGCGCCACTATTATTTCAAAAGGACGTTTTGTGAGACTGAACTACATTAAAGATGTTTGTGTTTGTCCAGCTAAACCCAAAATTATTCAGACCTCCAGCAAGTTGAGTTTTTTTTTTATGTTTAACAGAAACGTTAACGTGGGTTTCTGACTCGAATCTGATTATTTTTTACAGGGAGATAAAGATTCCCAAAAATCTAGTCGGAAATCACAGGATGAAACGTTTGATTTCTGTAATGTAAAGGAGAATACGATGTTAAAATGTACATATAGCAACTAAGTTACTTATTTTGCATATTTGTATAAAATTTTCAGGGTTGTTTTTATTTTAATTGAATTAAAATAATTTTAAATCCTAATCCGTAAGGCATATTGAATAACTTTGGGCTCAACTATATTTACAGGTGCATCTCAAAGTTAGAATTTAACCCAAAACTTATTTTGAGTGCATTTTCGTTCAGATGATTTCAACAGACACAGATTTATGTCTTTTGAGCGTAAAGCTAAAAAACCCAAAATTCAGTTTCAGCTCCAAAGGAAAATAAACCAATAAAAATTATTTTGGCAAAAGAAATTTTATATAATTGACATGTTGTGGCTTGCATGATTAATGTGAAGACTGCTAAAGAAGAGCATCGAATTATAGCGGATTAATAGAAAGTTGAGTGGAAGGAAAACATGCGGCAGAAAACTTTAAGGAGAAATAGGCCAGGATTGCTTCTCAGATGTCCAAAGGAAATGCATTTCATTTTCCAGCAGAACCTGGCTCATGTATATGTGATCATATCACCACGACACACAACTGTTACCATGGTTACAGCCGTGTTGCAGTTTAAAACCTCATCAAAAATCTACTGACTGGACAGCTGTTCCGCAAACAGTCACTCATTGTTCAAAAAACTAGATGTTCAGACTCTTGTAATAGTGGAAATATTGCTGGAAAGTAAAAGTTTAGCAGGAAAAAGAAATCTCCTCAGGAAGCCCATCAGTGTTTATGTCGTTTACTGCAAAGTCAGCGCAAAAAAGAAAAAAGATTTTAGAGCATGTCTAGTTTTCTACTGCTGTCAAAGTTTATAGATGCTGATTAAATTTTCCAGCAGGGCTTGGCATCTGCCCACACTGCCAAAGGTACCAATAACTTGTTTAATGGCCGTGGTAATAATCCTGACCCGAGCCCCATAGAAAACCTTTGGAGCATTGATGGAGTCGTTTATGCAAAAGGAGCCTTGACCAACTATAGAGTGCAGGGCAGATTTGTTCAGCACCAAGAGAAAAAGCGATGACATTAGCTCCTGCTTTTGCACCGTCTTTTTTACTTGTGCTTTTTTTCACAGTCAGCTTTTGTGGCTAACTTATTTAAATCAGCACACTTTCCAATCACCGTCTAAGTCAAATAATCCTTATTGGGCTGAATTGACAAAATGCAGTACTTTAATTAGAGAAAGCCAGATAGTTTCAGGAAGTAGATATAGGAAATAAATATCGGTATTGCTATCTATTGTCGTCCAAATGAGTTTTAGTGTATCGGCGTATCAAGTATCGACCAAAAATCCAATATTGTGCATTTCTGATCTTTAGTTTCCAAAGAAACTGAATTCTGGGTTTCTATTAGCTTAGCCACTGTCATAAAAACTAGCAAATGAAAGCTTGAAATTCATCCCTCTGTGTGAGTTTCCGTTTTAGAAATGAATTGCTGGTCAACAGCCAAGAAACTGTCTTTGGTTTTTCAACCATTTCAGGGTAATTTTGATGTGCTGAATCTGAAAATCACTTCAGTTTTGCTCAATCAGGTCAACTTCCTGAACTAAGCTCCATAATTTGGACTGATTACTCTTGGACTCTAAAGACGGACTTCCCTGCGATGCGTTCGGAGAAAAGGAAGTTCTTGTCCTTAATTTTGCACAATGAAGACGTAATTTTCAATTCACATGTACTGACCCGCGTCAGTGTTTATCACTCAGTTTTGTTTCAATTAATATACTCTGCTGGAAAACGATTTGTTTTTAATCATGTAGATTGGATTTTTCTGAATCAAATCAGAACAAAAGCCTGACCCGATTGAGGAAAAACGGGTGTCATTTTTTAATTCAGCAATACAAAATCATCCTAATTCAATTGAAAACAACTTCCGAAATAAATTTTTTTGTAATCCAGTGTTATATTCCAACTTACTGAAATGCACCAAGCATGTATTTCTCTGACCTCATTTTGCTGAGTCATGTTTGTTTTTGCTACCTTCAAGTGGAATAATTGGAGACATCCGACGTCTGAGGTTAAAGGTGTGAACAGTGAGGAATTTGGGGTGTAAAGGTGGAATTTCAAGGGTGTCTTTTCACAGGGCATACTTGGTGAATTATTTACCTCTCTGTTGAGCCTTGTGTTTGATTTAGACTTTTTATTTTTAGGCTGAGGTGATGGGTCATACCTCACACTCCCTGGAGCCAGAAATTGTGCAAGTGCAGGAGCCAGTGCCGTTGCCAAGCACCTCCAGTGCCTCTGGTGTGGCAGCGGGGTTGTAACTCATGTAATACTCTTGGAGTTGGGAGCTGAGGTTTTGCTCGGGCTCTGGGCTCTTTTTGCGCCGCTTCCGCCCCACCACTGACCGCTGCTGCAGCAACCGCGCAGCGCCGGGGTAGCGCCGCCACAGCACGTAGATGATGGTCAAGATGAGTGACATGGTGAAGAAGAGCGCCACGCTGCCCACCACCACCTTGTGCAGCGCCATGTGCTCCATCGGCGGCGGCGAGATGAGGGTGGGCCGAGTGCGAATCGCCGTGTTTCTCGTGTCTTTGCTCATGGGGCCTGGATAGGTTGGATGAGGAATTGGTCGAAGTCTGAAGGGTGGGAGGGGGCCAAAGGTGCTGGTTGGTGGGGTCGCTGGCGAACCGCTGGTGGGGGCAAAGGTCGGTTCGGCCGTGGCGTCAGAGATTAGCTCCGGCATCGGCGATGGCGTTTCAGTCATAAAGTAATCGTTCTCCTCGCAAATGCCGTGGTTCCGTGTGACCTCCATGATTTTCTCTCCCTGGAGATGCTTGGGGCTGCTGCAGATCATGGTGGTGTCTTTACTGCCCCGGAAATTTCTCAACCAAGCAACAAGGGGGCAAATGCCCGCTCCACAGTCCCATATGTTGCCAGCCAGGCTGATAGTGGTCAGTGAGATCCAGGCCGTCACAGCCTCTTGGGACACGTTGGACAATTTGTTGGACTCCAAGTTCAGGACTTGAAGGTTGGGTAAGCAGTGGAAAACAGCCGGGTCCAGCGTCTGAATCTCATTCCCAGACAGATCCAGTTTCTGCAGAGTGTACCAAGTCCAGGGAAGGCCCTGGTTGACCACTCTGATGCGATTCCACTGCAAATAGAGGGATCTCAGATTGGCTAAGCGTGGAAACAGAAAAAAATTGATCCTGGAGAACTGGTTGTGCTCTAGATGCAACTCCATCAGCCGTTGCAATCCCAAGAAGGTGGTGCGAGTGAGAGCCTTGATCCGATTATAACCCAAATCCAGAAACTCCAAACTTCTGCACTCCAAAAACGCTCGAATCGGGATGTTGGAGAGACCGTTTGAGCGCAGGTGGAGGTTTTGTAGCTTTCGTAAGCCATGGAATTGACCCGGCTGCAGGATTTCCAGTTTGTTGTAGGACAAGTCAAGGCTACGAAGGTTGGGGACGCCATGGAATGTGGAGTTATGTAGAGACGCGATCCGGTTGGAGCTCAGTATCAACTCTTTAAGCCTTCGAACTCCCTGGAACGCTCGACTGTCCACAACTGAAATTTGATTATGGTCCAGGTAAATCCAAAGAAGCTGTCCCAGGTGAGCAAATTGGTAAGGTAGCAGGGCGCGTAGTTCATTGTAGCGCAGGGAGAGACCCTGGCAGCCGACTGAGATGTTTTCCGGCACTTCTAAAAACCCAGAGGAGTCGCAGTGGATGGTTTTCCCCTCGCAGCGGCAGCTGTTGGGGCAGGTGCGCTCACCAAAGCTGAACAACAAGGGAGCTCGCAGGAGCAGGAGCAGAGGGAAGAGAAAGCATGTCAGCCTTCCATCACACAGCAGCGGACCTGAGAGCAAACAAAAACAAAATCAGGATTAGGAAAATCAAGAGACGGGAGCAACAAATATTGAAAAAGAAAATTAAATTGTTTCGAAACACATGGACTGGTTGAGCTGACCAAAACTTGTTTATTTCCAGTATCAGTTGGGTTTGTAAAATTTAAAACGGAGAAGGAAATCTGGAGGATTGTACAGCTCCAGTATTTCAAAGATCATCAAATAAATTTTATTTTCAGAGTTTCAAAAACATTCTTTTTTTTTTTTTTTTTTTTTTTGTAATCAACTAAATTCAGCTTCACAAAATCAGAGCTTTGAATTAGGACACAGAAACTCTGATTGGTGAATTTTAAGTGAAAATATTTTGTTTCCAGACTCCTGCAGTCACTTTTAATAAAATAAAACAAACCCTTTGAGTCAAAAGGTTCATTTTTTATTTATAGAGTGGGGTGCCTGTAACACTTTCCTTGAATTCTTCACACAATATTTCTTGAAAATTAAGTTTCTTGACATTTACTCAGCATTTTATGTTTTATGAGTCACAGAGCTGAAATTTGAGACGGTAGATTTCCCAGGAACCTTCCTGGAACAGGAGTAATGTCTGCTCCCACCACAATGCACTGAGCGACAAAAGCGACTTTAAAAGGTTGTGATTTACTGGCCGCTAGTTTCCTTCTGATTTATTTTTCTGTCCATGCAGCCAGGATGCAGCATATTTCACATAATCACACCACTGTGTCCAAGATAACAGGGGAAAAAATCTGCAATCATCTGTTTAAAGGTAAGAACTCACTGCTGCTTAGAGAGCAAACATATATAATAGCACTAATAAGAGTAAATACAACAGTCTGTTGGTTGAAAATGATTTTTTGATCATATTTGGAAAACATTAGAAAAATTTTGGGTTTCCATTCATTTTTTTCCTCTGTTTTTTTAATAAATGTTCAATGTTCAAGTCAAGCTGTTGACCTTCAGGAAATATTACCGTATTTTCCGGACTATAAGTCGCAGTTTTTTTTTATAGTTTGGCCAGGGGTGTGACTTATACTCCGGAATGACTTATGTGTGGAAATTGACACATCATTATATCACATCACGTTATTTTCACACTAAACCACAAGAGGGCGCTCTAGGCCTGTGTTATTCTACCTTCGGAGTTAGCAAAGTTGTTTATAAGCGACATTGAGGACAAAGATTTCATTGCGTTTAGTGATTTGAAGAGACACGGATGGTTTGGTAAACGTGTTAGCATGTTATTTATGCTATAGTTATCTGAATAACTCTTAATACGTTACGCTAACTCACCAGGCATGTTCTCAGTTCGTTGTTTGTCATGTAACGTTAGCATACCGTGCAATTATTCAGCCTGTTGTTGCCTCTATTATATTTTTTTTTGCCTTTCAAGATGACATGTCTGTTCTTGGTGTTGGATTTTCTCAAATAAAGTTTCCTCAAAAATGCGACTTATTTTTGTATTTTTCTTCTTTATTATGCATTTTATGGCTGGTGCGACTTATAGTCCGGAAAATACGGTAATTATGCTATTTATTCTTGGAGATTTCACAAACAGTAGAGATCTTATTTTAATGGATTACAATAAATATGAATCTAAGCTTATACTCCAGTCAACTCGCTAAATCATAATAAAATACCTTTAACAACTGCTGTTGCAAGTTTCCATAGATTTTCTGAGATTTTCCTCTAAATGTGTTTCCAACTGTGAGAATAAACTGAAACGTTTATGAAACAAACAAAAAAGCAAAAACATTTTGATTCTGTTTAGTATTTTACTGAAAGGTTTTTATATTTCAGGACCACAAATCCTTTAAATCTAGACTGAAATCCCACCTGAAATGTCTGTTCCTAGTTTTTACGACTGACTGTACGCCGTGTTTGTGTTTCCATGGCGTAACGCGTTGTGACCTACTGAAATGCTAGAAAAATAAACTCGATTGATTGATTCAAACTCCCCATTTTAGATATTTATTCCTGTCTTTGTTTCCTCTATTTTCTCTAATCTCGTTTTCTGGATGAAGACAAGTGAAGACTGCTTATCTCTGCATCACAATGATTCACCTCCGGTGGAAATTATTGCTCATTTCAGCTCTTCCGCTGATAGCTCAGGGCTTTTATGAGATGCTGCTTGCAGCAGTGGCTTTTTAAACCTCTTATCAAGATAAAACATAAGAATCACAGGCACTTTATCCGCTACAACATTGTGCGAAGGTTGTAATATTTGATCGAATGAGAGCTAATGGCAAGAAAACGTCAATTGGACGCTCTGCCTCAGTGTCAGCATGATGCTGTTAGCAGGCTCGGCGAGGACAGAGGTCCTTTAACTTGACATGAGATGGAAATTGGATAGTTTTCATCCAGTTTCCCACATTCTGACAGAAACTGCAAACGGTGAAGTCGAGAAGCGAAGACACGCTCGTCTCAAGAGTCAGAAATCCCTAAAAACGTGGTTCATTCATAATGCTGTTCAGAGGCTCACCACAGTGAAGACAGGTGAGGTTTTCAAGTCTGACGCCAAATAGTAACACCACCTGCGGTGATTTCCCACAGTGTGAACTGTAAATTAATGTCAGCAAAAAAAGAAGTACACTCCAAGATCCCTAAGAGAAACGATCCAGGACGTAACGTTCATGCCGAGGAGTTTATGGGGAAGGTCAAAGGTTCAGCGATCAGAGCTGGAAGGAGGACAACAGTATGGCTGCCAAAAACGTTGACAATTCCTCCACCGCACAGCGAAAATGACACGAGCAGCAATTAAACAATGGACAGATGGAACTGGCAGAACTGTCACAGAAACGATGCTGGGCTGAAACATGAAGATAAAACAATGAGATTCTAAAAAAAGAGGTTTTGGTAGCATTTTATTTTGAAGGGGCGTACATAAGACCTATTTGAACTGTGGTCATTCAGGTAATAATGACACTTTTAATGCAACTTTGCAGCAAAGTTGCATTAAAACTTTGATGCATTAAAACTCTGTTAAATTACTGATAAGCAGTAATTTAACAGAGGTAAGGTCATTAAACCAAGATGCTTCTCAGCACTTTTAATGCAACTTTGCATCAAAGTGTCATTATTTACCATTTTGTTTGTTTGTTTGCATGAATCTTTTAGGTCCACATTTTTACAGATGGTTTTTCCACTGCAAGAGAAAAAAAAGCATAAGCATAACAAAATAAAATGACATTTCTTTTGGCTTGATAAACAAGTTTCCACTTTTCTTTCTCAATCTCTACTGAGCTTCACATTCAAAGATTCAAGCATTAAAGCTAAACGGACAATAATAATTACACCACTGGTCTGGGATTTAATTGTTTGACCTTTTTTATAATGGCTACAGTTCAACAATTTCATTTTTTATAATGATTTCTGTCCCATTGTGCAGGCGCATGATTATACAGCTGCAGCTTCCAGGAAATACGAGTACAGATATTATGACGCACAATGTGTATTTCTGTGGAAAATATTCCGTAACTATGTCTCATATAAACACTTTGTGTAATCTTGTAGTCTCTAAACAACTGAAATGCTCCTATTATTGTGTATTTCAGCAATGAAACCCGTTTAAGAGCTGTGACACGCAGGGTAAATACATTCGTGAAAAAGAAATAATTCAAGAGGTTTGCTCTTAATCTTGAATGAAACATCTGTTGTAAGAGTTCAGAGATTTCTACAAGATTAACGGAAAAACTAACTGCACAATTTCTGGAACAGAAATCCAAACAACCAGGGTGCCACGGCTGAACAGCGCAGCCATCTGGACTGTGAGATCTGCAAATGAAACCTGACAAGTCCTTATGTGACCGTTTGGTCCAGATTCTGCGTGATGCAGGACGGAGCTGGCGTGTTAAAAAGCACAACAGTCCTAACGCCAGAATTATAGCGGGAACACAAAGATGAACTCCTAATTGGTGTTTAATGACCTGCTTTTGCCAGAAATCTGAAATGTGTGGAGTGCAGAGGAGCTACAAGAAAATCGTCAAACTTTCGTTTTGGTGAATGCTCTTAAAGGGCCGGTTGTGCAGGAGCGTATTTATAAACCTGTTAAAATATCAATTCTTAAAATTAAATAATATTATTGAACATCTTTTCAGTCCCTCCACAATTTTGTAATTTTTGTAATATTTTGCAATAAAAATAAAATTGTTTGTGATAGAAACTTGGAAATATTTTCAATATTTACACTTATTCATGAGGGTAAATGCAACTCGCTGCAATAGACTCCCAATAATGTATGACCGTAAAAAAAAATTGTTTGAATTTCCATAATGATTCTCAAGCAACCAGAGGGACTGACTGGTATAATTTGGCAGCAAACAGATAAAAAAATGCATTAACCTGATTGAAAACATAATATTTAAGCATATTTAATGTTTAAAAAACTGAAGGAAGCGACACAAAAATCTCTGACGAAGAAAATCTTCACATAACATAACAAAAAATATAAACAAAATAAAAAGGGTAATTTTTGATATAAGTCACTGTTTCTACTTTAAGCTGGAAGAAATAAACTTCTGAAAAGTTTTTCTCAGTTTTTTGGAAGAGTGCATAAAGGTTACCATTCAGCGATGGCATCAATACGTCCATGCGCTGCCCAAACCCTGGAAAGCAGCACCAACAGGGTGAGGAGTGTCAGGTAAAATTTGGCTAAGATGTTTTCAAAGCAATTTGTCCGTCTTCCTGTCAGGAAAATGACACGACAAAAAAAACAAAACAAAAGCAAGAGCTGATGAAACTCTGCAGAGGTGAATTGTGGGTAAACTGAGGAAAATCTCACTTTGCTTCATTTTAAAGTTTCTCTTTTTGTTGTTCACAATTTCAAAAGACATTTTGGAGTTATCCCGTCTTCTGTTTGGTTGTAAATGTCTTTATTCTCACGTAGTAAAGATTGTTTTCTCCTCAAGTGAACCTTTCTCTCTTCCCTCAGGCTGAAAGTCTCCTCATGCATTAAACAAGTAATGAATTCGCCATTCACTTTTCTCACATGTGGGTTCCT